TATATATATATATATCTAACGAATAATAACGAATCGTTAGAAACTCTAAAAAAAATTGTTGAACAAAAAAAGGAATAATGCTTTTAACAAAAGTTTACTTAATAAAAAAAAAACAAATAATGACGTTAACAATAATTTAATCAAACAGATAATACAATTTACGCCGTGGGCACTGTGAGATGTGGGGGGACTTGTGCAATGGGCTACACGATAGATACATACTTTCTAGTCTTCAATGTGTGGCCAACCGCATTTGTAAGTTAATCATTCATCCAACATCATTATTTTTCATATTATATTACATTATTATCAAATGACAAGAGAAGAATGATAAGAACATTTTTCTCAAGTTAATTTGATTATTTTTCTTTAAACACACGTACATACAATTTTGATCATTTTCCCTTTATTCAGAATTTCCAAAATCCACATGACATCGCAATAGATCAGAGAAGTAAGTCATTGTACGTCAGTGAGATTGGTCCTAATCGAATAGAAAAGTTTGATTTGTTACCTTGAAAGGGACAAAGATAATGCGATGAAAGAAATGATTTGGAGGCTTATAAAAAATAAGCAAGTCCGGAAGAATAAAATTGACAAATTAAGAACACAAAAAAATAGAAAAAAAAAAAAAAACTACAGAAGGAAAAAACGACGCACGTCAGTTAAAAACAATTATGAAAAAAAGATAAAAAAAAATTAAAAAAAGAAACTATAAATGCCCCCACTCCAAAAAATTCAAAAAAAAAAGGAAAACATATAAAAAAATTAAAAAAAAAAATAAAAAAGAAAAAAGAGAGAGAGAGAGAGAGAGAAAGTGAAAGAGAAAGTGAGAGAGAAAGGAAGAGAGAGGGAGTTGGAGAGAGAAGAAAGATAAAAAGAAAGAAAATCAAATACCAAAGAATTAAATGCCTAAAATTCATACGAAAAAATATGAAAAAAAAAAAAAGAAAAAAAAACAGATCCGTACATAAAAATATATATATACGATATTACGTTATAATTAAAAATTATATTTAATTATATTTGTTCGGCGAGAAAAAAAATTGTAGAACGGTGATGGCAATGCATACCAAGGCCAATTAAATTGACGACAAAAATTGTCATAAAGGTAGTAAATGAGTAAGGATAAAAATTGAAAAAAAAAAAAAATGAAAATAAATCAAAAACTATTCCGCGTGATCGTTGTAAATGATGTTAGATAATCGCCATTGCATGAGATAAACGTAAATTCTAATTATAACGTACGCGTATATAATAAGCGCATTATAAGTAAAATTAAATAAAAAAAAGTAAAAATAAAAAGAAAAACAAAAAAAAAAAAAATAAAAAAAAATAAAAGGAAAAATCTCAAAAAAAAAAGAAAAAAAATTATTAAGAAAAAAAACAGCAGAAAAGAAAAACGGAAGAAGCTAAAAATTAACAAATAACAACAAAAACAACAAAACAACAACAACAACAATAATAATAATAATATTTAAAATAATAATAATAATAAAATTAATAATAAAAATAATGATAATAATATAATAATAATAATAATAATTAATAATACACGTGAGAGAGTGTGTATGTAACTTGCGACATTCGATCGTCTCTGTGGAACCTAAACTACCTCCTTCTATTTGAACTCCAATTACGTATGTACGTACATATAGATGAGAGGGTACACGAGTATGTAAATGTGTATAAATACGTACGTATGCGTGTAACATATGTGTTTGAGCATGTGTTCGTATTCGTATACGTTTGACATACGAGTTGCACACATTCTGCAGGTTAATTTACACGCGTAGACTAGTAACGTGTGTATGTAAACGTGCAGATATTCGTGTGTACTCACGTGTTACGTATACGTATTTCTGTACACACTCACATACACATGGTACACGCATCGATACAAATTTATCGTACACGTATGTATGTATTTTTGATCTCGAATGTTTTCCAAACGAGTCCTTTCCGCGAGTTCGTCTCTAATTTAATTATAACATTTGTTCTTTGCTTTTTTCCCCCTTTTTTTCTGGTATAAGTGAATGTACGCGTATGCTTACGTGTGTGTATGTGTGTTTTGTGGGATTTTTTTTGAGAAAGTTCGCACGCGCGCGTGCATGCATGAATCGTGTAAATCCTACGTGAGAATGTTTTTGTTTTTTGTGAATTGAAACATAAAAAATAATCGAGCAACGACTTGTTCTTTCTTATTGGATAAACAAATATAATTAAAAATAATAATAATTTTTTACTGATACACTGTCCGTCGTCCGGCCCGCTTCCTGCACTCCTCCAGCGCGACCCGGAACGCCGCACACCTCCCGGAACCCGAGAGATGGGCCGCGTCCGTACGTCCTGCCTCGGCGCACAGAGAGCAGTTCAGTCTGTTCCTGCAGTCCGTCGCGTAGTGTCCGGTCTCATCGCATTTCCTGCAGCTTTTCGTTCTGTCTGGTCCTTTGCAGCTCGTCTTTGTGTGTCCAAAGCCCAGGCATTTGTAGCACTTCGTTACCGTGAGTCGTTTCCGTACGCGACATTGGACCCATCCTATCCCGATCCGCCCGCGTCCGAGCAGCCTCTCGGCTTCCCGCGATTCAAGATCGCAGACCGCCATGTACTGCTCGGCCCGGTTCGGGCCAAAGATATGGGTACCAAAGTCCCCGTCCCGTTCTGTCTTCCGTCGTAGTGCCTGTATTACGTCTTCTCTCGTCACAACGCAGTCCAGGTCTCCACTTGTGTCCGGGAGATCATGGCTTTTACGCTGCCGTCATCGCCGACAGCGTTCTGGAGCACGCGACGAAAGTCGTCTCGTCCTTCAGTGGTCGTCTGCATCTTAATGGAGGCACAGTCCGTCTCTCGTCTTTCTTACAGTCTTGACCGTCACGTTGTTCTTGGTCGGGTCTACCGTCTCTCGTATTTTCCGTACTATGTCTGAGTACGTCTTATGTTTCCTGGGCTTGACCAGTACGGTCAGTCTCGGTTGCTTGGTGATCGGTCTGTGCCTTTTAAGCCGGGCGTGTCTCGTTCGTCTCGTCCGTCTTTTTCCGTTCTTTCGTCTTCGATTTCTTTTTCACTACCGTCTGCCAGGCGACGGCCGATTAAACTCGCGGGATCCTTTCCTGTGCGGACTCCGGAGTGGTCCCAAACGTCTCCCGTTTCCGTTTTGTTCGTGGTGTCTCTTATTTGTTCATCTCTGTTTCTGTCTCCGTGGTTGTGTCGTCGTCGTCGTTAGTCCGCCACCTCGAAACCGTCGTGGTACACTTGTTAAGCGTGACGTCGGCGGCTTCGAGGATCGTCTTGATGCCTGTCTTGACGGTTGTGTTCATGTTCTTTTGGATATGCGCTGCATCTGCCATCCTTGTTGCTGTCGTTTGTATGATCGTCAGCAGTTCCATCAAGTCTCATTTTTGTAGCGCTGTAACGTTCAGTCTTGGTTGTCTTTCCTGTACCGTTTTTGATTTCGCCTGTCTGTCGTCGTTGTCGGTGATAGAGGTAATAGATGCGCTACCCACGCTCGATACGCTCACCGTTTTGTCCCGATTCTGCGGGTCTAGGAAAATCTGCCCCGTTGTTTTATCTTTTTTATCCGTTTTTTGTTTCGCTTATTTCGGCGTCGAATTTGTGCACTTACTGCGGCCCTCAGAATCTTCGCCGCTGCCATGGGCCACCGGATCTTTCTTCCGGTCGGAACCCAGGCTGGATTGTCCCTGTGTAGGGTATACCACCTGAGGTATATTTATGTTTTGTTTGTGCATATCATCGATTTTTTGTTGTTTCATGTTGCGTCGGGTTTCTCGGGGTCGCGGTTCCCGTGCCGGGGCCTTGTTGAGGCCACTGGTGTCCGCGGCGCGGCAGTTTGTGGCGGAGGCAAGGCGACGGGGAGGTTCTTGTATCCCATCCCCCAAAAATAAAATCAAATATTATTCGATGTCTGTGTATGTTAAGGGTTAACCTTTCAAGTAGAAGTAATTATTTTATTTCGAAATAATTGGTATGGGGTTTTAGGGATGAATATTGTTGTTGGGTATTTAAAAAATTTTTGAAAATAGGTTTAAATAACAATGCTAAATATGAAGAGATTAATATAAATAAATTATAACGTTACTCGATAATTTCGAGTTTTATGGGAAATGGGATCTAGTAGGGTTAAATTCTGATTGAAATATTTTCAGATAAAAATTGGAAATTAAGATGGAAAGATATTGTAGCAAGATGATTGAACAAAATTAATTGGAATTTATATTGAAAAAAATAAAGAAGAAAAATAAAAACAAATATTTGTAACTAAAATGTTTCATTTTGTTTCATGTACAAATAAAAAATGAACGATACAATTAATTTCTTGCTACATGTTCTTTCGTATAAACTATTGTGAAATGCAAGAACGCTTGTGCTATTCGAAAGGGTAATAAAAATAATAATTAATTAGAGAGACTGTATAAAAGTTCTCATACGTTTGACTGTAAACGTTTTCGTGGCACATTGGTACTTAATTGTAATGATTTTATTAAGTTACTATAACACACATTATTACAATTATATTATAAAACAAATGGAAGAAAGAGACGAAAGCGACGAACCTGCGTTAAAGATAATCATACGAACATAACATTTATCTATAGACGTGAGAGAAGATAATTATTTGAAAATTACGATTATAAAATTAAATGGTGTTTTTAAACACGACGAAACGTTTTGATTGGATCAAAAATGGTTGGACGATTATTTATAACTCAATTATTTATATTTATTACAATATTTCTTTTTATTCTTCTGTATATAAATATTTGTATTAAAAAAAAAAAAAGGATTTTTATATTTTTTATATAAATATCGTCCTGCCACAATGAACATAATTAATAACGAACACTCGAGGTATATCTTTTTCATCAAAAAGATTTACAAATTGATTTCTTCTATCCCCGTAAAATAAAAAAAACGAAGAACAGAAATAAGGGGAGTGAAAAATAAAAGAAGAAAATGAAAATGAAAAAGAAAATGGAAATCCAGTTAAGGAATCGTTCAAAAGAATGATCAAATATTAAGCGTTAGAAAATCCTAATGGCTAGTTACAAATCAATGAGAAAACCATAATGGTCACGATAAATCGGCTACTTTAAATCAACATTCGTCGCAACGAGATTGATCTTGAATTATGTAATAATAACATCTGAACATATGTTGTACTGTATGTATGTATGAATGTATGTAAGTATGTATGATGTATGTATGTAGGTATGTATGTATGTGTATGTGTGTATGTACGTATTTACATGGATATGTATAAACGTCATCGAAAGTTTAACAACAAACTATTAATCCTAAATTGTTTTTCGAGCACGAAACTTCGATTATCGTCGTCGATTATTCGAAAATAAAGAAGAAGAAGAAGAAGAAGAAAGGAAAAAACAAAAATACTGAAAATGATAACAAAAAGATAAACAAAAAAACAATAAAAAAAAAGAACATTTTAAAATATATTACATTCAATATTTTTTTTTTCTTATTTTTTTGATTGATTGAAACAGATCGTTTTTTTTAATTAGTTCGAAGAATTTCGACAGATCATATTACAAAAAAAGATTTATTTATATATTTTTTTTTAATTTTTATCCT